TGAACCGCTTTCAGAGAAACAAGACTTTGCTATTTCTATCTATAATAATAATGTGCAGAGAAGCTGATAAAGCAGTAAGATCTTCTTGACTGCAATACAAGCGAAAACCTTTGTCTTGTCTGTTTCGGATTTATCGAGCTGAAGTGCATGTTATGTGCCATGGTATGTGTGTTCTAGCAAGACATCTAGAATTCATTTTTTAATAATGCTAGGTTTTAATCAAATTGCAAATTTGGTGAAATTGGGTTGCCAGAGACTAAGAATACTGAAACAGGAACCTGCTGGCTTTTTTAACCTTTTGCTGTAAGGAAATGTGCCTTTCTCCATTTGATTTGAAAAAGGAAATAGACTGGTGGTGTGGCCATGGAACTTTCTCTTTCTGTCTCTGCAAAGTGCTAGTGAAAGAAAGAAAAGGAAAAGTACAGTATTGAACAGTACAATATTATGGCTTTGTTGAGACAACAGAATGAAAGTAATTAATACCGTGTTTGTTTTGTTTCAGGTGTCAGAAACTATTTGAAAGAAGCTTTAGTGAATATCATTGCTGTGCATGCAGAGGTGAGAAAAACTTCAGGTTATTTCATGCTTGCATTCATATGAATAATTTGAGCGTACTTTGTATGGTAGATCCTGGCTTTCATCACCCCTGAAAACTGTACCTCTGTTGAAGTGTCTTCATTGTAGGTGTGAGTGCTTTGGGTGATGTTTAGCCCGTCAGGTATGCAGCTGCTAACTTTTTTAACAGCAGAAGGCGGTGAATTGTTCCTGTTTATCCTCCGTAACACTCCATGACACCTTTTTGTTTCCACTATCTGATGAAGAGGAAAGCCTAAGTCTAAAGCTCAATTCTTCCCTTTTCATGCAGGTTAAATATATTTAGAGAGAGATACATAAATAGATGCGATGCTCACTTTCTCTGATTAACTTTATTTTCCATAACATATGAAAATGAGCTTGTGCTTCACTTTGGAAGAAATGTTCAAGTTATGCCACTCAGAATGAAAAGTATTGTTCTGTACATAGGATAAAAAGTAGAAACCTAACCCCAGAAAGTTTTATAGTCTGTGCAGCGCAGATTGTGTTTGAAATACTTAGGTAATGCCTTATGACAGGGAGTGCATATTAAAATTTAAACAATAGTATTAAAATAATAAGCTTGCAGAGCTGCAGTTATTTCGCCTTTTGTGATAATGCAGGAATTTTATATAGTCCTTCAAATTACAGCCTCTGTTCTATGTATTCCTTCCTTCTAATAATCAATAGTGCTACCAGGTTACTATTGCTCCTGGCAGAAACACTGGTAGTAATATTGGTCTTTACCTTTCAAAATACCACAAGTATAGCTGCTCTGCCTTTTCAGTCTACTTAAAGTCTGATGAGGTTCACTTGAGTTTTTTATTATATTCCTCCTTCAATTACAAGGATTCGTGTAAATTAAAATATTTTCAGAAATCTTAAAGATCACTTGTAATATTTTTTTATTCAATTTCAGTATTTACTTATAGCAGATTTCACCAAACTTATAGCTGATTTTACCAAATGCTTCCAAATGAGGGAATAAGCGACACCAAAGATACACACTGAGATTAATTTTTAATGTTGTTTTCCAGTTTAGTGGAAATCAGTAAAAATTAAATTGAGAGTTTTTCCTTTAAAATGTCAAAGGCATTTGTGAGTTACTGAGCTAATCCTGTAAACATGCATACTTGCTCAATTGCTGCCGCAGGAAGGTGCACTGCCTTGATGACTTCACTGAGACCGATACTGATTTTGGCCCAAATAGTGTTGCCTCATAAATTTCTAGATGTGAAACATTACAGAAATGTGAAAATGTGTGTCAAGATGAAACTCCCATTTCCACTGTTTTCTGGTGAAATTCTGTAAGCTGGGCCACATTGAAGTTTAGTTAGCAAGGCTGCAAGTTTCTGTAGTTTGAAACAGCAAAAATTAACCATCAGCTGAAGAGTGATCATGGACTGAAGTGGAAACAAAATTGCTTCTCTACCTTTGAATTCAGATTTAACTGAAATCAAAATAAGGGCTTCTTATTGCAAATTTGTGATGATTCACCATTGCTGAGAATTTTTTTTCCTGGATTCTGTATAGTAACTTCAAGAGTGATCGTTGTGGGCACAAATATTCTCTTCTCAGTAGAAGATTTTGGATGTGTTCCTGGTATGTTTGTGTTGAATTGCTCAGCAATATTTGCTGCTGAATAAGGTGACCCCTTCCCAAATCGTTAGTGGGTTTTTTTATCTTACCGTTACAGCTAAGTATGTCACTTGGCTTTTGTGGGTCAAAACAGTTAAAGCAGGCTGCATGTTTGAATGAGCAATGGTAACAGCTGATGTGCATGTAGTCAGTGTTCTTAGCCTATAGTGCAGACCTGCCTTTTGGAATGGTCAGCTTTATGGGATCACTGTTACATAATTCATTGCTTAAATCACTGAAAACTGTGTAGGAATCTTGCATTCTATTTTTTTTTTTCCCTTAATTTACTTTAACACATATATAAATATCTTCTGTCAATATACATTTCCTTGTCAGACATGAGATCTAAACTTCGCATAAAGCAAAGGTATTATAGAAAAAAATCATTCCACTACTTAATGGTTTAGACCATTTTAAAACAGAAATTGGGGGAAGGAGTGTTTAAAAACTATGCTCTTCGTTTTCCTTCTTATACCACTCCAGACCCTTTATCTTCAGTTCCTTGTGTCCTCTCCCCCAACCCTGTGCAGTTTTAGTGCAGCTTTGTCATCACCTTTAAGTCTTGACACAAGTTTGGTCTGTCTAACCTATAATCTCACTTCCTCCTATATTCCAACCTCTTGGCCTGCATTTTCCCCACTTCTGTGACAAAAAAAATCATACTTTTTGGGTTGGTTTTTTTTAATTGACCAATAATTTCTCACTTCCTTCAAGTTCCCTTTAAGGAAGATTGGTTTCTTCATGTTTTCCTCCAGGCATAGATCTGATGTTTAATTTTGTGTTGCTGTTGCATTGCAGTCACTATTCTGAACCTCAGATGGAGGATCCAAGTACCACTTTAAAAAGTTACACAAATAAACAGTTAAAAAGATGCTCTTGATGCATGGAAAAAAAAAAAAGTAAGGTGTAATGTTTTTGCCAGGGAGCTAATAACCATTACACCACCATGCTCTCAAACCCTTCCAAAGGCTTATCCCTGCCACAGGGCATAAAGACACTAGCCATTTGACAGTGGTCAAATATAAAGGGTTCTGGAAGAAATAGCAAAATAGGTGGGTAAAAAGTATCTGAATGTGTAGTTCGGTCGGTCAGTCACACAACCCTGAATTGAAGGTGTTATCTACAAAACAGCATCCCATGTACAACCCCCTGGCTACCTGCATCCATCAGCCAAGAGCGCGTATTTTGAAGTCTTGGCTGCCTTGAGGCATTGCAAGGAAGTTGTCATTATCACGTGTCCTATAGCTAATAATTGTTACTAACAGAGGTGGTTGGTCAAAACGCAGGGCAAGCAGCAAAAGAAGGCCTTCGTATTACAGTTGCTTGTGTCCACTGATAAAACTGAAGTGGTCCTTTAGATCAGAGTGTTTAGTGCTTTTTACTGAATTGTTACTGTAGAAAATATTTCTGTTAATATAACTACTGTGCTTATTCTTTTTCTTTCATAAAAATCAGGTGTTTACCATTTCCAAAGACTTAGTTCCTCGGGTAATGTCAAGGGTTGTAGAAGCGGTCTCTGAAGAACTGAGTCGACTGATGCAGTGCGTTTCATCCTTCAGCAAAAACGGAGCTTTACAGGTACCTGAGTACTTTGTGCTGTCAATCTGAATCTAGAAAACGGAGAACAACAGTGTATTCTTTTGAATTTATTGTAGCAGTGAAAGCAAGGAGACAGGAAGGATTAGTATGCATCTATTTCAGATTAATGGATGTAAGCCCAAGAAGCAGTATCCCAAAGGGTTTGATTATATTTTACTGTTGTCTTTGCGTCTGGGTGCATAAAAGGTTACCTGTGTCCCATGAGATAAAAAGCATCATAATGGTAGCTGTTTGAAATATTGTTAAATACTGCCTTGGCCTGGCATCAAAAAATTACTTTAAAAGAAAAAACAATTCTGTGATATTTCGAGATTTAAAAATCTTGAAAATATGATGCAGCAGGATCTTGCAAGTCTTTGCAAAACCAGTCACTTCTCTCTTACACTATTTCTGCATTAGCCTTTTGCTGCAGCGTGGGTAGAACAGATACTCTTAGACTGCCTTCTTCCTTACAACCCACCGTATGGACTTGAAGCCTAATCTCATAACTGAAAGGATTGTCTCTCCCTGCTGTACATTTGTCACTCATGGTCATTGTCTGCTGCTCTGAACATAGAAAAATCTGTCTGGCAGACAGCAGCAGTGTCAGAGTGAGCCTGGTCAGACGGATCAAAAAAATACTCATTCCCAAAGAGAAGCCTCCCACATCCCATGACCCATGGTTTTGCAGGGTTTGCCCTTCCACCATGTTTATTTAGGCTGCAGGGCACGAGCATGTGACGCTTCCCCATGGTACTGCTACCTCCTAGAATTTAAGAAAGACTCCAGAATCTTATGTGTAGGACTTCAAAAAATCTAAGGCTGTTCGGCTTGGAGCACTCTACAAGAAGAGGTGAACCATTCCGTGATGAGAAAGGCTTTTCTTATGAGTACGGAATGGGTGGGTGGCTGCTGTATTTTGTGTCAGAAACTTCTGGCACTCCAAGAGTGTAATTCCCAGCTGACTTTCTTCCTAGGGGAGAGATGGGGGGAAGACCTAAAGGCCAAAGCCTTTCATTAGAACTGGAATTGGATGTCTATGTTGCATTATAAAAAGTTTTTGTTTGCAAGATTAATGTCTCATTAGTTGTGTCTAAATGCAGATCAGTTTCTGTGATGGCTAACTGAATTAAATCTTTATGATGAAGAATGGAATATGAATTTGCATGAAGTTCACCTTATACTCTTTAATGAAATGACTTAAAGTATTGATCACATGCAGAATGTTTCTGTTTCATATAAAACCTGTGATGATAATGGTTGCTTTTCAAAGACTAAGGGACAGTCTATGAAATTATTTCATATTTGAGTTCATTCTCCATCACAGTTTGCCTAGGTGAAAATTAAAACCTAGGCACACAGTACAGTGCAGAAGTAAAGTCCCTAAGTTTGTGTGCCTACCAGGTGACAGACAAGAAGAGCACACCCATTCTACTTCTTCATCTGATGGGGCATTGGGAGAGAGGGAAATCATCAACACGAGAAACAGGAAAACCTGGAATAAAATGTGTATTAACAGATTTTTGTGCTTTAGTGTTTTCTTCCTCCCTGGCCAAGCTGTGCTGTGAGAAGTTAAGCTCACTGTACTTTATTTTTTTTTTTTTTTAATTAAGACAAAGTTACATCCTTCTATCTTTCTGTCACAGCACAGGAAAGATGGAACAGAGTTGAAGATTTGTTACTGTTACTGAGAGACAAACCAATGTTTTTGGACTGCTACATAGTGACCGTACAAACAGTTTGACTTGAATCAAAAGTATGAAATTGTTCCTCTTAGCAGTCTCCTGACATAGCAGCATGGCAACGAAAAATACAGGAAACAAACTGTTACAAGGCAAGACTGCTCACAACTGTGGTGTGCAATAGTATTTGCCTCTAGAAAACGTGAAGCTTTGGGATACTGTTACTCACTTGACGAAAGGACATTGTGTCATTCTTTCAATATTTGTGTCTTTAGGCAAGACTTGAAATCTGTGCGTTGAGGGATACCGTGGCCATATACCTAACACCTGAAAGCAAGTAAGATGTGCTGTTGTGTCTGTTTTTTCAGTGTAATGAAATCCCTTGGTAACCATGCAAAAGCATATAACGTAAATTTAAGGATTAAGAAATTTTGCTTCAAAGAGAGTATATGATATACTAGGTAAATATACAAAAAACAAATTACTAGCAAAATTTTATCAGTTGAAAGAAAATAATTACTTTTATATTTGAATTTTTAGACAGAAACTGGTATCTGCCACTCAAAAAAAAAAAAAACCCCAACTTTTTAACAGCAGTTAAAACAGCTGCTGAGGAAAATGATAAAAACAAGACAAAAGCAGGTACCACGCAGTTTTAACCATTTTTTTACAGCAGTCTCATAAAAGCACACGGCAAAGAGCCTGCCAGACACACCAGAGAGGCGACAGAACTGGACACTGGCAGGGTCTCTTTATAGGGATATGGAAAATTAGGGTTCTTCACAAGCTCGTGTAATACCCTACTCTTTTTCCACACACCTAATCAGAAAAGTGAATTCACACTGTCTCTTAGAAAGCCTTCAAAAGGCTTTCAGCAATTTATAATTTCTCAGTGAGGTGCAAGACCAAAGATTAAATAGCGTAGGACTCACTCACTCACACATTCACGTGAAGGGTGAAAGAACAGCATTAGCAGCATCAGTGGTTGATGCAGTCAAGGCATGTGAAAAGAAACCCTGATAGCTGTCAGCAGTTTTGAGTAAAGCTGATTGATTGAAAATTGAAGGTGATTACATTGGGGATTGGATACGGGCAGGTTCATGCATTATTTTAATTACCTACACTTCCGTTAGGATCAGAATTATGTGCTCCTGTAGAGGGCAACTTGGTCATCGTACCTGATCAACATTTTGTAGGAAAGATTGCAGGGACTGACGTGTCTTCATGGTGTCACAGATAGTGTCCTATGGTGTTTCTGCATTCCTTTTCAAAAGACTTGCTTCCCTATTCTGAGTGTCTGATAGCGCTGAAGACCTCTAAGTGAACGCTACTTGTCACTGGCTCAAATTGGATAAAATGGAAGTGGCATAGTCTCTAATCCACATAGGGGCAAAGCATAGTGAGCCCTGGAAGCTAGAGCTTCATAGCTGCCTCTTGATTCCTGGTCCTGTCGCTCCTAGTGATTGCCACAAGCCACCATATTAATTGTTTGCTGACGAGGCTGTACCTATCTGTGCAGGTCCTGCATAGTTTCCTGCACTTCTGTTACACATCTGTTGCCCAGAGATGGGTGGAAACCCCATCTTTGGAGTTACTCAAAACTTGACTGGATAATGTCAAGAAACCTCTAACCTCGAAGTTGGCCCTGCTTTGAGAGGAGAGAGGTTGGACCTGACGACCTCCAGAGGTCCCTTCTAGCATCCATTACCCTGTGAATCTACGTTACCTCAATGCAAACCTACTGTAATTCTCTCTGTAGGCCCCCTCCTGTAGGGGAGAATACAGTGACCTGTCTACTGAGCACAGAAAGCCAAAATAAATGTTTTGCCTGTGCTTTGTACTCTGATGGTCACTTAGTTTGAGGCAGAAGGCAGGCTGGCAGCTATCTGTAATTCTTGAAGAGTCCAGGATGTCAAGAACAGTCTTAAACCTGCTGCTGATTTAATATTTCCTGTTGATGTCTGGTATACATCACATTAGGAGTGTCAAGAGACCCATGACCACTTTATATTGCCCCTGAATATTGGGTGTCAAGTTAATATTTTGTTAATTTAATGAAACAAGAATGGATAGGATATAGCATATCTTCATGCAGTTTATAGAGAGAAACTTTTAATGCCGAGACTCGTACCAATGGAATGTGGTATTTTTGTTTTCCTTGCAGCTCGAGCTTTAAGCAAGCTTTGGAAGCCCTGCCTCAGCTGTCAAGTGGAACTGACAAAAAGTGAGTATAACACACCTTCTTGTCGCCTTTCTGGTCTCTGGAGCCATTGCTTTCTGCTCTTCTATCAGAACTTTGTATCAGAGGATTATCGTTGACTGTGTTTGACCCTTCCAAATTACAGAACAGAAGCCACTTTGGACAGAGCTAAGAATAAGCTAAATCCTTGTTCATCACGGCCTATTAAATTACACAGAAGAGCTGATGGCTTTGGGGCATATCCTTCTGGCCCAGCCTAGTCTTATCAGTGCAGTGCAGCTTTGTATTTATTCTGTAATTTATTTTAGCCTTCCTTGTTAATCTTGAAGTTTCTGTGGGGTCCATTGTCTTGTCTTACTGAATTTAGCAGCAATTAAAAAAAAAAATATGGCCAAGGAAGAAAGCTCAGACTTCTGCCAGCTGATATGAGGTGAACTCTCAAAACTGGCGTGTTTCGTTTTAAAAAACAGATAAGAAAGGTCTGTGGTTCTTTCTTAACATCAGGAGGAGGAGTTTTGGGTTCCTCCCTCCCCACCGTAGCAACCTTTGACAACCAAGCTGCTTTGCTGCATCCAGCCTGGTATTTGGTAGTCTGTTTTACAAGCATAGTTTAATAAAGTGTAGTATGGTAAAACTAGGATGGATTTGTAATGTACAGATGTTTTCAACTGGAGTTTGGTATTAAGGTACTTTCAGGAACTGAACTGCGTCAAATCAGTTTGTACTTAAGAGTGAGAATTTAGAATATTTTGTAGACACGTTAAGAGACTGTTGGGGCAGCCCGTGGTCTATGCCTTCTTCCAGATGTCCTCTCTCTATTTGAACCTACAGTAGCCACAAGTCTCAAGACACCTCCTTGCCTTACTTAGCTCTTATGCTTTATTAAAGATAGGAATCGGTTTTGAGTACAAAGAGTTCTTTCAGCTCAGACTTTCCGAAACACCTGTAGAATGGGGTTTTTTTTCACTTAGTCACAAGCATTTGAGCTCCATGGGACAGATGAGAATCAAGAACTGCATCATTTTTACATCTGCTTCAGAGTTCTGAGCCCTAGACAGTGAAAAACTTGTTCTGTTTCCTGGGTTGTTACCCTGTAATTGTCATTGTTCCAGGCAGCTCATTGTAATCTACACAGATTTGTGTAAAATAGCACACATTCGTGCACTGATTTGGAGCTGTTCATTTCTCTTCCTTCACAGTCATTGCTGTGATACTGAATGATAAACGTGGCCATAGGCATCTTCCAGGGGACCTGCTGAGGAAGCAGATACTGATTTTTGTGGTTCAAATTGTTGTTCTTGGGTTTGTTTGGTGGTGGTTTGGTTTGGGTTTTTTTAACATACAGAGTAATTTCTTCTGTTACTGGCTCTTCAGTAATCACAGCTTGCCAAAAAAAGGGCAGACATGTACCTCAACATCTAGCTTGTTTTTGAGATAGAGCAAAAAGTTTGGAGAACACATTCTTCCTTAGAATTTGGGGAAAATAAAACACACGGGCAAGACTAAAACTTCATAATGCATCTCTACTGTTACAATAAATACCTTCTACAGCAGAGCCATCAACACCCTTGGTCCTACGCCTGTGGTTTGTGGATTATAATAGGTTTTTCCACTACACCAGGTACTACCTTGGCACCTGTGCTGATGTAAATGAACCACTGTTACACTCCAGAATGAACTCATATGTAGTTTGTTACCTACAAAGGACAAAACCACACAGTTGCCAGTGAATTGATGTTGCTCCTAGGGCAGTCACACCACCTCTCATCCTTCAACCATGACACTTAAGAGAAGTCAAGAAAATACCTTCCAAAGACAAGTTTGAGAACTGAAATTAGCAGTTCAGCTGCGCAGGAAAAGCCGTGGGCTCGATAAGGGATGCTGGGTTTATGGTACATAATCTGACAGTTTCTGGATTTTCCTTACAGACGTATCTTATGACACTCTCCGCCGGTCCTTTTGCCATTGTGTTTTGCAAATAGGTTTCTCTCAAGATGCTGGTCTTTAGCTGGAAGGAAAGCCATATAAAGGGCCGTTTTATCACCTTGATAAAATCTCTATGGCTAAGTCCTCCTGTGGCCACAAATCATCCTGACACATTAGTACACTCCTAAATATCTAATACCCAGATTTTTTAGTAGATCCAATTTTATGCACTTTATTTAAGCAGACAGTGTACTTGAAGTCACAGACAGAATAGCCAAAACTTTTGCTAATTGGTTCCTTTTCAGAATCTGCCAAAGTTGTAACTATTTTCCTTTTGCAGGTTACTAGAAGAGTTACTGAACAAATTTAAAAGCAGCATGCACTTGCAGCTGACCTGTTTTCAAGCTTCGTCGTCAGCAATGATGAAAACATAGACAATGACACAGTGCAGACAACTCAAAAGACACATGTGCTGAAGCGTTGCCCATTTTTTTCTGTACTTCTTCAATTCCTTTGAAGACTGAAGAAAACAAAAGGGATTTTACTGAAAAAGAAGTTGAGATATAACTCTGAGTGGTGGTATGGGGGCATTCTGCTGAGTGAGGACTCTGATCATCAGTGTCTTGATAAAATGGGGGTTTTTTTGTCTATCGCATCATTCTGTGGAGGGGATTAAGCCACTTTTGTGTAGATACAATCTTCTTGGCTCTGCGTTCATGAAGAAATATTCATTGGTGTGCTGCCATCTCCATTTCATCACCTTGAATTTGAGTATTACTTAGGTTGTTCAGTGTATCAATTTCTAGATGTAGATTGGTGTAAGTGACCGGAAGACTCAACTTCTATAAACTATGGAGAATTATGTAATAAACATTACTACACACAGCTGACTAACAAGTGTTCCTTTGCATGTAACAATTATCACTTTTTTCCTGTTATCATCTACAGTTTTAGTGGTCATAATTCTGATTTCTTGGGAGGCTTTTATTGTCTTCCTGCTTTTTTAATTAAACATATTCCCACCTCCTTTGTTTCTCCCATCTATTAGAATATTGATAATAAGCTCTCCTTGGCATTTGGCAATTAACTGAAAAGCACTCTAAGTTTGTAAAAGTAGTAGGTTTAAAAAAAAATGTTTAAGTAATACTTTCTGGTGTTAAGGAGTAGAATATTTAACGTCCTCTCGCAGAGTCAGCAGTAAGGAGGAGCACAATGTCATTGGTTTTGCTGCTTCCTTCTTACTCCTCTTGTCTTTTCTTGTTCTTACAGGCTTACTGCCACTGTCTTCCCCTTCCCTCTTGTTAGCCCTCTTTTCACCACTCGTTACTGAATTTGTGTGGGCAGTCGGGATTAAGAAGGAAAGAACAGTTTTGTTGCCACTGAAATGTCATTACATGAAGGTCAACAACCGTCTTCCCAACAGGGAATATTTGACACTGAGTTTAATTTTGGTCTTGTTGTAAGATGCAGGAAGCTATAGAGAGCAACTAAGAGAAAGTGGTCTTGTTTTGAGGGTGAGGGGCGGTGCCACTTTATAACTGAAATCATGACTTGCAAGTAAATCATGCAGTAATAACGTATTCTCTCTGTATTTACAGTCATTTTCAGTGGGACTTTTCAGGAGCAGCGCACTGAGTTTTCAAACAATTTTTTGATGTCAACTGTTTTCTTTTGCCAGTTCAGTTCCTGTAATATGAAATACTGAAGAAACGCTTTGATGCACATGTATTTCCTGGTAAAAAATTGGTGTGTAAGTAGCAATAGCATGTTGAATGGAAGCTTGAAACTTCAAATATATGTCATGGTTGGCTTTCATGGAGAAGTTAAACACCTGGAGCAATGTTTTGTTACGTGTTGTCCATTCTAAGCTGGTCGTAGTCTCAGCTGCTGGTATTAACTGAAATAGTCATCCAGTTAGCTCAATGTGTAACGGATTTTACTTCAGAATAATAAAATATGAAGTAATAAGGTCATAAGCTCTTCTTGAATTCCTCATGTTCCAAGAAATGTGATTTCTTTATGAATTTTGCATCTGCATTTGTATTGGACATGTTACGAAGTGCTGAAAACCTATTTTATCTGTTCTGAATTAATATATATTCAGGCGTCTCTTTAGTGTAACATCATTCTCTGACTCGTCTTCTGTTACAACAGCTGGTTGCTTGTCTTTAAAACCTGAAGTTTGTGCTTGGTTGCCTTTCTGAAGTAACATTTCTGGCCGTGTCATTGATGACAAATGAGGATAATGCCAAAGGGATCAAAATATTACTTCAGTTGAACCCGACATGAAATAAATGCTCACAGTCATGGCAGAGTGCTGGATTTCAATAAACCCACTTAGTGCAGTTACGGAAATTGGTGACATTGTACCGTAACAGGATGTATTGGAATCCCTTTGCATGGAAGGAGAGTCGGGACTGTTGGGACTTCGCAGCCAATATACAGCAGGCTGCAGTTCCTCTGAGAAGAAGAATACAAAACAAGAAGTGGTCAGTATGGTTTTCGAAAAGAAAAAAAACCAACAATGTTCAAAGGTACAATGGGGTTTTAAAAAAAAAATTATTGGAAGTGCAAAAAGATGGGGAGACCGCACCAAAATACAGAATCAGTTAGGGCTTGCAGAGAAACGGGAGGCAGCAAGGATGTCAAAGTAACAGAAGTGAAAGGCTCTGACATTTAAAGCAAAGGCAAATGCTAAAAACAGTTCAAGAGAAAAAGCTTGTTATTACACTAACTTTGAACCTCTAGAAAAATCTAAAATTAATACGGGGCGGGGGGGGGGGGGGGGAAGTTGGGAGGTTTATTTCTCATTTAGAGAAAAAGTGACAAGGTTGTTAAGTATGTCTTGCTAAAAGTAGGTAAAGGCTAGAGGCAAATTTGACTGTAACTTGCTGTGTTGAGGCATTCAGCCTGTGGAAATGTTAGGGTGTTCTCCTGTTGCTGTGTTCCTGACCGTTTATTCTAAATAGTCACGAGTAGTTCAAGTGGTAAGCAAAGAAGTTATAAGAAGCCAATACAGTGTCAATAATGAAATGGGAGGGGGAACAGACAGACCAAAAAAAAAAAAAATTTTAATCCCTCAGTAAAATGACAGGGAAAAAAATCATGTCAGTGGATGTTAATTTAATGAAATAGACCAAATAAGAAGCATGAAACAATGAAGAAATCCTCCCCCTTCTCACCCGCAAAACGTTTCCTTTTTAAATTGATGTTCTTGGGGATTATGTTGATGAAACGTGCTGCTGGTGCATCACTGTCGAAGTTAAACACCTTCCTATAGCTGTTTAAAAGCCACTTAGAGAGTGTAGAAGTATACAAAGAACCCTAGTCGTCCAAGTGTGGTGCGTGCGCTGAATTCCAAGCGTACGAACAGACACGAGACTGCTTGCTCAGAAAGTCTCCTGCAGGTGTTTAGCACACATGCCTGCCTCAAGGATCAGGGAAGTCGTGTGCCCCGGACTAAACCCCTTGCATCTTCCTCTGGTTCCATAGGAAGACCCAAGACTCCAACCGGTTTAACGTCACTGCGTGGCAGAAGAGGAGGCGTCGGCGAGGAGTCCGTGCTCCGCGGGGGCGCTCCTGGCCGCAGCGGTAACGCCCGACTCTTGGCTCCACAAAGTACATCCCGCCTCCCGGCCCAAGAGAGGGGACTTGGTGTTCAAGATGAGGTTTCCATCTGTTTGTTTTCGGGCCTTTTGCCATCTGGGAATGTGGAAACACTCCTGAAGTGATGGCATGTTTCTGTGGCTGTCGTGGTCGGTAGGGAGGTGGATAGAGCAGAGCCGTAAAGCCTTGTGCAGTATTGCACAGACCATGGAGCTGAGAAACAGAAACTTCAGGTATTGTTTGTCCTGATTCTGCTTTAGTTAAAAATACTCTTACGTACACTCAGGGAAAAAATAAAAGAGTAAGAATTGATTGTTGCCATAAAGGGAGGTATAATGGCAATGAATGTTTAAAAAAAAAAAAAAAAAACCACGATAGAGGAATTCCATGGAGCTCTGTGCAGAAAGTCCCTCGCCTGCAAACATCTAACACCAGGCAAAGCCCTAGGGAATGTGTCATAAAATATACTCACAATTTAACTCCTTTACAACCTCCAATGCAGAGGTCGGAATTTGCTGTTTCTAATCCAGGAGAAGGAAGAAAATTGTAATTTCCCAGGTATAATGTTGGTCTTGTGAAGAAGTAAACGTAGAGGCAAGGATCTTTTGCCGTGGTTACACACAGTCATCAGGGACAGTGCTACACAGGGGGCTTACACTTCCACACCTGCTGCCGGACCGTGTTTTAAGTCAACTCCAGCCAACTTCTGTGGATCTGTCCCGCCAAAATATGCTTAAAGTGCTGTGATTTTTCCTGAGAATATTAATTGATACAATAGCGATTCTGTTGATGGATGCAAATACTGATTAACTTTGTGTCCAAAGCAGTGTCCGAACACTTGCTAGCAGCAAGGGGTTTTATATCATTTGCACACTACAAACATACTGCTCTTTTCCTCTTCTCAGTGCATAATATTTCTAAAAATTAGAAGTAAAAGAATCCTAAGATCCACTGAAACTGAAAAGCTTTTTTGCTGAAGCCTGCGGTTCAAAATTCAGATCTGGATCTTTATTGTTGTAAAGCTTTGGCTCTCTGGATCTGATCAACTAGAAGCATCTTATCCTGGGACAGAAAGAGGGGCCCCTGAGGTGTTCGGCATCAGCAATCTCTTTCTGACTGTCAGGACCTGTGCTTCCCACCTGGCAGGTAAAATTTTAGGATCAGTCTAATAGTTAGCAATAGGCTGTGTCTACTGTAAAACAGGCAACAGCACCTGCATTATTTAACTAGTAAGAGGCAAATAAGTTTTAAATTATCCAGGTGTCCAGGTAGTTTGGAAATATTTGGGGTTTTGTGAAATCCCCTATTGGAATTCGAAGAGGACTTAGTCCTAAGTCTTCCTGGCATTTCTGGCCTAGCCGTGTCCCTGGAGGAATTCTGGGTGACAACCCGTATCCAAAAACAAAAAGAAAAGAAAAATCATTGTGGCTTCTAAACTTGCTGTCGTGGTTGAACTCTGGCTAGCA